TACTAGTGTCTTATATTTGTATTGGTTGGGTTATTTGAGTGAATTTATAGCTTGAGTTACATACAGTTTTGTGTAAGCTTCTAGGTGAGGCTGTGGGTTTTGTACTGGGGTGGTATGTGTAGTTGTGCTTTGGCAGTACGTGTAGTACTTTGGTAGTACGAGTGAATCTAAGTGTGGGGCTTAGATTGGGTAGGATAGGGTCCTATCAAGTAGCAAGTCCAGTGAGGAACTTGTGAAATAAAGGTCTGTGTCTAATAGGTTGTAACTTGGTGTTTGCTCTATTATAGTGAAATAATTTGTGTTTGAAATCCCTAAGGTAGGGTTGAGGTTTTACTTCTAGTAGGGCCCTGGAAGGTTTCCTCGTAAAATCTGTGTGTTTTATTAAGTTCCTATACGCATTGTTTATTTATCCGCAAAAAGTAGTCATTAGGAACTCTATACGATTCACCCCCCTCTTGTATTAATCGTTGTAACTAACAATTGGTATCAGAGCAAGGTACTCTCGTATAAGCGAATAACTTTGCTGAGTAATTTCCTAGAGAGATGAATTACAAGGAGAAACTTGAAGAAGGGTACTCTACCCAACGTCCACCCATGTTCAATGGTAAGTTCTACACCTACTGGAAGAACAGGATAAAGGTCTTTATTAAGGCAGAAAATTACCAGGTTTGGCGTGTTATTGAAGCTGGTGATTTTGAAATAACCATAACCAATGAAAGGAAAGAGGTAGTTCCTAAACCTATTTTTGATTATGATAAAGAAGATTATCAGAAACTTAAACTGAATGCTTTAGCAATAAAGTATTTGCACTGTGGACTTGGACCTCATGAACATAATCGTATCATGGGATGCAAGTCTGCTAAACAGATTTGGGATCTACTAGAAGTAAATCATGAAGGAACAAATGAGTTAAAACGTTCTAAGATTGATTTGTTGATGTCTAGATATGAAAGGTTTGAAATGCAATCAAAGGAAACTATAGAGGAAATGTTTACTAGGTTCAATGATATTATTAATGAACTGAATTCCCTTGGCAGACACATTCCTATTGATGAACAGGCTAGGAAGATCTTGAGAAGTCTACCACAAGATGAACGATGGAGGTCAAAGGTTACTGCCATGCAGGAAGCTAAGGACTTCACAAAGTTCAACATGGAACAACTAGCTGGATCATTGATGACTCATTAACTACATCTAAGTTCCAACTCTGAAAGTTCCAAAAACAAGAGTCTTGCTCTTAAGGCTCAAGACTAAAAAGGAATCAGAAGCCGATGAAGAGGAAATGGCAATGCTAGTTAGAAAGTTCAAAAGGATGATGAACTACAAGAAGTTTGATAGGAACAAGAAATATTCGAGTTCCAGAAACACAACTTGCTTCAAGTGTGGCTCGAAAGATCACTTCATTAAAGACTGTCCATTACCAGATGGTGAGAAAGGAAAGACAAAGGGCAAGGAGCAATCCAAAGATTCAAGAGTCTATAAACCTTACTTCACCAAGGACAACGTGAAGAAAGCCATGTTGGCTGCTTGGGGAGATTCGGATTTAGAGGAAGAGGAAGACCAACCTCCAGAAGAAACTGCCCATCTATGCTTGATGGCTAAAATCGATGAAAAGGCAAAGCTGAAGGAGCTAGAATCTGAGGTATGGTTTCTCAAAAAGAGCTTAGACATTTTTCTAAAGAAAACCTAATATTAGCTGTTTTAGGTATTTAAGAAGAACTGAAAGAATTACATAAAGCTAAACAGAAAAGTGATGAAGCTCTGGTTACTTTTATTGAAAATAGTGAGTGGGTTGATAATTTGAAATTTGATATTCAATATAGATTCTTTAGTCTGTTTGATGATAATAACTATTTAAAAGAAACTATAGACAGGTTGAAACATGATAAAATAATTTTGAATGTGGAACTATCCTTGATGAAACTCTGTCTTAATGCCTCTGATTCTGAAGTTCCTCCACTTGCTCAATATCCGAATTTGAAAAACTAAAATCTAACTTGGAAGATATAAAAGCGGATAAAGCAAGACTTGAGGGGGAACTTGAGAAAGCCAGGAAAGGTAAACAACCTGTAGATTACAGAGTTCCAGATTGGATTACCAAAGCTCAAACCAAAAGAACTGAAGGTTTGGGTTTCAAAAAGAAGTTCCAAAAGGAAAAGAAATATGTTGACCTGCCTAGTAGTATAGTTTGCTATTTCTGTGGCAATACTGGGCACAAACAAGCTAAGTGTCCTAAGAAAGAAAAGAGTACACAGAAAAATGAAAAACATGTAAAACATATTTGGATCGAAAGCATATAGAGTTTATAATAAAAGGACAATGTGTGTTGAGGAATCTGTACATATTATATTTGATGAAACTGAACAGTCTCTAAATGATGTACAGGAGTGTGATAATGATTTTGAAATTGAACTTGTCTGCAAGACAGATCCAGATGAAAAATCAACATCATTGCAGAAGCAGCTAGTTGAAATTGGTGAGCAAACGAATCTGGAAGAAAATGAAGAACCAGATACGGAGAATGCACCAGGAACTCCCTCTCAAGAACAGAATTAAAATCAGAATGAGGAAAATCTTGTTGAAGTTCCAACTGAGGTTCAAGAACAAGTTCCTACAGAAGAACCAGTCAACAATGATTAGGAAAGATTGTATCCAGTGAAGGACTTTACACCTAAGCGATGGAAACATCAGAAGTTACATCCTGAAGATGCAATCATGAGTTATATTACAAAAGGAACTCAGACCAGATCTCAGCTTAGGAACTTCTGTGCATTCTATGCATTCCTTTCTTCCATGGAACCTAAGAATTATGTTGAAGCTTTAACTGACGCAGACTGGATTAATGCTATGCAAGCTAAACTAAATGAGTTTGAAAGAAATAAAGTATGGCATCTGGAACCTAGACCCAAAGATAAGAAGACAATAGGCTTAAAGTGGGTGTTTAGGAACAAGATGGATGAGCATGGTATTATTGTCAGAAATAAAGCAAGACTGGTTGTACAAGGTTTCAATCAACAAGAAGGAATAGACTATGAAGAAACATTTGCTTCAGTAGCCAGGTTAGAGGCTATTCGTTTACTAATTGCTTTTGCTGCTTATAGGGGATTCACGTTGTTCCAGATGGATGTAAAATGTGCATTTCTAAATGGTTTTCTGAACGAAGAAGTCTATGTGGAACAACCTCCTGGATTTGAAAATCCAGAGTTCCTAAACCATGTCTACAAGCTTGACAAAGCTCTTTATGGGCTAAAGCAAGCTCCTAGAGCATGGTATGAAAGATTATCAAAGTTCCTATTACAAAATGGTTTTAAACGTAACAAAATAGATAAAACTTTGTTTTTAAAATCAAATGGAACTGACATATTAGTTGTACAAATTTATGTTGATGATATTTTGTTTGGTGCAACTAATGAATCTTTGTGTAAGTATTTTGCTGACCTTATGAGTGGAGAATTTGAAATGAGCATGATGGGAGAATTAAATTTCTTCCTTGGACTGCAAATAAAGCAATCTGAGAAAGGAATCATGATCCATCAACAAAAGTATGTCAAGGAACCGATCAAGAAATACAAACTTGAAAATGCTAAGACAAACGATACTTCAACGGGTATTGCAACCAGATTGGATGATGATCCATCCGGAACTTGTGTTGATCAACCTATGTACAGAGGATGATAGGATCTTTACTTTACTAAACTGCTAGTAGACCTGACATATCTTTCAGTGTAGGTTTGTGTGCCAGGTTCCAAGCAAATCCAAAGGAGTCTCACCTGAAAGCAGTAAAGAGAATCCTTAGATATCTAAAAGGAACTGATGATTTGTGTCTCTTCTATCCAAAAAGTGACTCATTTGATTTACATGGATTTACTGATGCTGACTATGCAGGTGATTTGGTGAATAGGAAAAGCACTTCAGGTATGGTACAGTTTTTAGGACCTTGTTTAGTTTCTTGGGGTTCCAAGAAGCAAAACACAGTTGCTTTATCTACAGCTGAAGCTGAATACGTGGCAGCAGCAGCATGTTGTTCACAAGTACTTTGGATAAAACAACAGGTTAGAGATTTTGGTCTTATTTTTGAATGTGTACATATCTACTGTGATAACACAAGTGCTACATGTATTTCTAAAGATCCCGTTCAGCACTCTAAGGTAAAACACATCCACATTAGGCATCACTTTCTAAAAGATAATGTGGAATAAGGGAATATTAAATTGGAATTTTGTAATGCGGAATATCAACTTGCAGATATTTTGACCAAACCCTTGAACAGAGAAAGATTTGAGAAATTGAGACTGGAACTTGGAATGATCAAGCTGAATTGATTTCTTCTGAAGTTCCTAGATATGGCAAAGTAAAAAATAAGGGAAATAGAGCGAAAAGAGCATTTAACACAATTTTGGTGTGCTAAGCATAGCTGAAGTGTCACCGTTGTTAACTACCAAAGGTAAGTTCATTAAATTGCCCAAATGTGTAAGTTATTAAATATATACACTGCACATATGTAAAAAGCGTGTTCCAATTGTGTATTTATAGAAAGTTTCTTTTTAATTAAATGAATTTGAAAAGAATTTTTTTTTTTGAAGATTCATCCAATAATTTCAAAATTGGAAAAATTAATTGAATTTGTTCAATTAATGACTAAACAGTGAAATCCCTTAAAATCCTTCACACCGCTTCATTAATTATAAAAGGCTGATTTCACCCACCTCTTTCACCTCACTGTCAAATCAATTAACCCCTTCTCAGTAAAAACTCTCTTGAACTTTAAAAACCTTCCCTAAAACAACAATGGTGATCATTGCTGAAATTGTCTCATCACAAAACTCTTAACACTCCGAAAACACCATTCAAGAAGAAACATCTCCTTTAGCCATGGTGAACTATAAATCATCTTCTACCTCAAACAAAACTCCTGAAAACCCTAAAAACCCATCTCCGAAACCTAAAGAAGTAGACAGTAAGAGTGATCAAGGAGAATCCTTTATCTCAAGTACTCTTCAATGGCTAAAAGAGTGGAAATCGAAGAAGTTGACGAGTTTGCTCAAGGGAAAAATTCAGAAGAGACAAAAGAGGAGGACGAAGAAGAAGAAGAGATGAATGAGGGAGAAGAAGATAAAGAAGATCAGAACAATTTAGAAAAGGAAGAATCTGAAAAGGAAGATGAAGAAGAGGAGGTGACTGATCAAACCGAAATTGAGTCACAGGCAGGGAGGTATGTTGTAGGACATCGCATTGATCTAGTTTGGTGTAGGAAAGCAAGATTTTTAGAATTTCTTAATTTAATTAAGTTCCAAGGCTGGGAATTCTTGCTATCAAGAGTCTCAGCAAATTATCTGTACCCTGCTGCTATGATTGAGTTCTGTTAAAACTTTCAAGCAAAATTAGGGGTAATTTTGAGTGTAGTAGATAGGGTCAAAATTGAATTAAATATTGAAACCCTAGGTAAAATTCTGAAAACACCTACTGAGGGTTATGAGTCATATATCAAAGGAAAGGCCAGTGTCAAAGTAGGTAACTATTTGACATGTGACATTGTTAAAGCCCTAGGTGGTCAAAGGGGGAATAAGGTCATGAGTCACAATGATATGAGTCCCTTGAACAAATTGTTGTTTAACCTTGTAAAGAAAACCATTCTGCCCAGAACTGCTAAGAAAGGGGAAGCATGTCTGATGGATATGGCTGTAATTTTCTGTTTGTCTAAGAAAATTAAGGTCAACTTTCCTGCATTGATGTACCAGCATTTAGCACATTGTGTTCCAAGTAGGACAAAAGTGGGGTATGGAGCCATTTTTTCTACTGTGTTTGAAAATGCTAGAGTGGTTCTGAAGGGAAAATATGGGGCTTTGGATGAAAAGCCAGAAAATGTTATCAATGAGGAAACTTTAGCTGGATTGAGTTTGGAGGTTGTGAAAGGAAAAATTCAAAAAATAGAGAAGGGAGGGAAAAAGAAAGAGAAAGTGACTGGGAAAAGAAAGGAAAAGGCGATGTCTAAGCAGCCTGTAAGAAAGAGCAGGACAATTTCTGCAGTGTTGTTCCTCAAACAAGCATGGAACAACCACTGGAGTTGGATGTTGAGGAAAGTATCCTCAATGGGCAAGTTGCAGAATTGGTGGACGAGATGGAAAGGGTTGAGAATCAGGTGAAGAATTTTGCTGGAAAACTTCATATGCTGACCTTGGAAAAGCTGGTGCAAGAGCAGGGGAAGGAGTTAAAGGAACTCAAGAAAGTGATGCTGAAACAGGACAAGGAACTTCAAGAGCAAAAGAAGTTTCAGCAAGAACTGAACAAGGCTCTATAGGAACAAAAGGAGGAGTTCCTGGTGAAACTCAAGAGTCTTGAAGAGAAACTGGAAGCTTCTGCACAACAGACAAAGGAGGACTACAAGAAAATTCTCGAGTTTCTTGAAACCTAGACTGTCCTATTCCTTTTTCAATCTATATTCAGCCTAGCCTATTTTCTCTGTCTCAGTCATGAACAACTTTAATTTCTGTTTTAGTGTTTGAACAATTAATTTTGATTGTAAATTTTCTGAAATTGTTCAACTGGATGATGAATCTTTTGGTTTTTAATGATTAGTTGGAAATTTGCTTATACTTGTGTGTTTATGTATGTACTGAACTCTTATGAAGTAAAGCAGAACCTGCTTGAGGTAGCTTAGCAGCGCTGCCTTCAGCTTCCCACACTCGATGAATTGCTTGTGGGGCTGTGGATAGATGATTAATAACTTGAAAAACAGGACTTTTTTATAATGCCAAAAGGGGGAAAAGAAGGAGCAAACTTGGAGGCTAAAGTTGCTCTGGGTTCTAGTTAATAAAGTATCAGAAATTTCTCTGATATGATGCTGAAGTAGCTTAGTCTGTTGATGTGTCTATTTTATATAGTATTTTACCCCCATCCTTTGGTCATAATTAGTAGTGTTTTTTGCTCTTTAGAGCCACTTTTATTACTAATTGGTGTTTTCTAGTGTTTTCGTAGATTTGGTTGACTTTTGCAGGGATTTATGCTTTTGGATTATTTTCCCGAGATATTTTGGAGCAATCACGAACATTGGAGAAGCACGACCAGATTCTATATCCCAGGTCCAGTTAGAGCCATCGAACAGGTGATTAAGTGCTCGACATAGGTGATACCAGGGCATTTGGACCAAGTATTCAAGACCGCAAGAGGAAACCCATATTGACCCGAAGTATTGGAGCCCAATCGTAGTCCAAATAGTGGCCCAAGTGAGCCGCCCGGCCAAAGAGGCTGGCGCAAGGAGGCGCGCCCGGCCGGGCGGGAGAAGCTAAGGCTGGCGCCCGGTGACGCGCCCGGCCGAGCGCGAGATTAGTATTAGGGATAAAAAGGCGCGCCCGATCGGGCGGTGCCTCGCCAAATCGGGCGCGTGTATTTCTTAGGAGACGATTAACGTCGTTTTAATTTGTTTTAGTTTAGGATTTTGTACGGAGTATAAATACTCCTCCGTAATACGATTTTAGCTCTCTCTTCTTCTTTTTACTTTTTCTTTACTCTCTTAATTGTTCTCTTAGATTTTCTTCCTCATAAACCTTTGTGCTTAATCTACTTTTAATTCCAAATTTATTTTGGTAACGATTTCTCTTCTCTTAATCTTAGTTGTTTATTTTATTCCTTTCATGATGTCTTGCTTTATTGCTTTGATTAGTTTAATTTCTACTATGTGTGAGTAGTTTTATTTCTAGGGTTTATGGGGATCCATAAATAATATGAAGGGGTGATTTGTTGTTGTAAATTATCAATGCTAGGTTAATTTCCTATTGATTGAATTAATGCTCTGTGACTAGATTAGGCTTGATCTTTTATGCATGAGTTTGGCAATATTAATTCGAGATTCAACATATGAGAATTAATGTTTAGGTCTAGTTTCAATAGGAAGGTTAATTTATAAATGGTTAAGTCGAGATTAGAAAGATGAGATTTAATACCGGTAAATTAATTGTGTGATTATAATACGTAGGGAAAGCCTTTTATAATCTGATTGATGTACGCATTGATGAATGATTATTATATTCTACCCTGGAATATTATTTATTGGTGAACCTATGCCTTAGATCCTTTTATATCTTGTTTTCTCCCTAATCTCAATCTTAGTAGTTTGGTTCCTTATTCGAATATAAACTTGGGTTACTTCATAATCTAGATTATTTAAGTTAATTAGGAATATAAAGACTTGTTTCCCTGTGGAGATCGACCCTACTTCCATATCTGCTTGAGTTAGAGGACTTAGGAATTATTTTTTATTAGGGGATACGACTTTACCCTATCAAAATTTGGCGCCGTTGCCGGGGAAACGATTTTATTTTTATTTCTGATTGTTTTTGTAGTCTAGATTATTGTTGCTCTCTGAGACAAATCTCACATTTTCTTCTAGTTTTTGTTTAAGCCTAGGTGTTCCAGATCAGGTTACATCCCATTCGATCCTGAGATCGAACGTTCCTTCCATAGACAGAAAAATTTATACAAGCAAATCCTGGCGGATTCTGGTTATAATAACAATAATCACCGCGATCCTCCGACTGGTTCTAGCGATTTAGAGACATCATAAGACGCAGAATCAGAGATGACGGCTCCAAAGAAGCTTAGTGATTATTCACAACTCAAGCTTACAGATTTTCCACATCTTACCCCTACTCCGGCTCTTGATAGGGTTCAATTTGAAATTAAACCTCAATTTATAACGATGATAGAGAGGAAGCAATTCAGTGGAGCCCAGGGTGAAGACCCGAATCTTCACATTGCCGACTATTGTCAATATTGTAACACCATCAGGCAAGCCAGGGTCACTCAAGACCAAATCAGGGAGATTCTCTTTCCCTTCTCTTTAAATGGAAAAGCTAAATTGTGGTTTAATGGCTTAAATAGAACTACACTTGGTATAACTGACTGGGAAACTCTTGTTTTGAATTTCTATAACAAGTATTATCCTGCAGAGAGAACAGCCGTACTACGGAGTGCGATCCAGAACTTTGCCCAAGAAACCGATGAATCTTTATATGAGGCTTGGGAAAGGTTCAAGGATTTACAAAGAGATTGCCCTCACCATAATTTAGTGCAATGGCAGTTAATCCAAGCCTTTTATAATGGCCTTGGAAATTCTTCTCGAATAATTTTAGATTCTGCAGCTAGTGGGAGATTTATGAATCTTGATGTTGAAGATGCAGGTCAGGTTATTGAAGACATGGTGATACACAATTCCCAATATGGGAATCCTAGAGGATTTGCGAACAAGGGGAAACATAGTGTTGACTCTGTATCCTTTTTGCAAGCTCAACTAACCTCTATTTGCCAAAACTTAGATAATCTGAGCACTGCTAATGTAGCTAATGTTTCTGCGATTAATAATAATTCTAATGAGGCTTTCTGTGAAAATTGTGGTGTTGTAGGTCATTGGGAGCAAGATTGCAGGAGTTCCGTGGAGCAAGTTAATGCCTTCCAAGATTATAGGCAGAATAACCCATACTCCAACACCTACAATCCTGGGTATCGGAATCATCCGTACCTTTCCTACCGGAGCACTAATGTTCAAAATCCACCACCACAAGAACCACAAACGCCACAACAACAACAGCAGAAATATTATCATCCCAATGCTAGCCAGAAGAACCAACCACAACAACCCTCCTCATCTTCTGACCCTTCTCTGGTGGAAATTAGAGCAATGTTGGCTAATATGCAAAAGCACATGGAGAGCAGAGATGCGACAATTGATTAAATTCTAGCGCATAATAAAATTGTAGATAATCAAATTGCGCAACTCTCTGCTACCCTACAAGCCCGCCAACAGGGAGCTCTGCCGGCACATCCGACTAGGCCTATGGATCAAGCATTTGCAATTACTCTAAGGAGTGGTTCAAACTATAAAGGGCCCTCTATGCCCAGAGTTGATGAACCTGTTTTATTAAATAATGCTAATCTTGATTCTGTTAAACCAAACAATGTAGTTGATAGCCCTGCAGAGCTAAAGGATAGTACTAACATATCTAATTCTACATTACAGGGTACGACTCCAGAGAAGGTGGCTATTCCAGATAAGAGTAATAATGCTCCAAAGCCAATTATCAAACTTCCATTCCTCAATCGTCAATTGAAGACAAACTTGGATAAACAGTTTGGTAAGTTACTGGAGGTGGTAAAAGATTTGAAGGTAACAATTCCCTTTACTGAATTAATCACACAAATCCCCTCGTATGCAAAATTTATGAAAGAAATATTGACGAGGAAAAGGTGTATTAGTGAGGTAGAGACAGTAGATTTCACTGCAGAGTGTAGTGCCGCACTTCAAAATAAGTCTCAACCTAAATTAAAAGATCCAGTTAGCTTTTCTATCCCTTGTCATATTGGCAATCTCTTGATTGATAATGCATTATGTGATTTGGGTGCAAGTGTTAGCGTCATGCCATTATCTGTGTGTTCTAAGTTGAATATGGGTAAATTAAAAGCTACAAATATAACTCTACAAATGGCCAACCGTTCTTTCAAATACCCTTTAGGTGTTTTAGAGGATGTCCCCGTTAAAGTAGGTAAATTTTATATACATGTAGATTTTGTTGTTCTTGATATGGCTGAGGATATGCAAACCCCAATTATTTTTGGTAGATCATTCCTTAACACTGCAGGAGCAGTCATAGATGTAAGAAGTGGTAAGTTAACATTATCAGTAGGGGATGATAAAGTTGTTTTTAATCTGAATAATGCCCCTAAAAGCTCCATGACTGAGGAGAAATGTTTCAGTGTTAATGTGGTTGAAAATTATTCTAACAAGCCCCAAGCTCTTGAAAAAGATCCCTTGGAGGCGGTATCTTGTGTTGCATCCTTTTCAGATAGACAAATGGTAGAAGGAAGTCGATGCAATAGAAAGAGCACTCTACAATGTTGGTCTTGGTTTTGAGGTTGAAAGGTGGAACCGATCAAGCAAGTTGTGCGATTTGAGCCTACGGTAAGTGTTCCGCCAGATCGAGTTGCAAGTGTTGCATGCAAGGAAAATTTGAAGCAATCCTCGATCAAAGAAGGATCTTTAATACGTAGCATTGAAGATCCACCATTCCAAGTCAAGGAGGATCCACTAGATAAGGTGATTTGGCGTCCCACAGGGTATGTCAGGAAGCCGCATCGCAGCCTAAACACCGCTAGACCGGGTGAGAAACCACCCGATCAAGCGTTAGGCCAAGGGTCCTAGTTATTGTACTTGGTAAGAAGGTCATGCGGGACCTAGATAAACCAGCGGTTTGCGGGAGGCAACCCGTATTTTTAATGCTTTTTAGACTAGTTTTTCTTTCCTTTTTC